ATTTATCCGAGTACAGCGCAGAGTTCATGATTTAATAGACTAAATTATTCATTTCGTGTGTTAAAATCTTGGTACAGTGATGACGTAAAGGAGAGTGATCAACCTTGCTGAATGGAAAAGCAGAACTGTGGTTAGAGAATTCACCTGGGAGACGGTGGTGAGATGCTTTCTTAAAGTACGGGTGTAGAAACAATTCAAAGACCCTTGAGTAGAGTTGTGGAATTTGAGGGTAGAGCAGTGAGAAGTAACTGGTAACAAAGGTGTCTCTAAACAGTGGACGGTTGTCTGGATTCCTCAGTGGTTGGCGCCTGAAGGATTCAAGAACAGAGGTGGCTGTTGTTAAATTTACATGTACCAGAGGGCCACTCTGGAGGGCCTTGTGTTAGGGCAGAGTAGTCAGGTACCAGACTGCGGAGGTCAGTTAGGGCCAGGCTGTAATAACTAAGAGGTATCTCAGCCTTAATAAATCCAACACTGATATCATGACACCACTGTTACCCCTGTCCCTTGCCCCTAACACACACACACACACACACACACACACACACACACACACACACACACAGAGAGAGAGAGAGAGAGAGAGAGAGAGAGAGAGAGAGAGAGAGAGACCTGCTCCTCTGTCTGCACAGGAAGCAGGTGCACTTTAAACTCCCCTGATCTCCATCCCTGACCCTTGCTATGCTGTCTTGCCCTCCTACCCCAATCTGTGTGTGTGTGTGTGTGTGTGTGTGTGTGTGTGTGTACGTAATGGGTGAGAACTGAGGGGAAAAGTAATGGTGGGTACCTGTTGATGATTTGGCCTGAAGAAGAGAAAAAGTACCAGTGTCAGAGAATAGTAGGACATATATTTTAAATCAAGACGCTTTATGGATTAGCCTGTTAGAATATCTATGAAGATAAAGAGAGTAATCATACAGGGAGGATCCCAAATTACTCTGCAGTCATCGTGTGGATAATGAAGTGGAACAGCTTAAAGTTAGTGCAACAATTATATTATGAAAAGTATTTCATGATAAAAAATTACAGATGTTTCTGTCTCTATAGGAGGATGATTTCAGTATTTCTCCCCCGGTACTAACTTGCTTCACCTGGTACTTACTTTTATAGTTTTTGTTAATTTCTTGTATAGTATTTTTTGTATAAGTATTCATGAATGTTTTCCTCACAATATATATTAATTCATCAGCATAACCCACTGAGGAGGATTGGAATTAACATGCATATAAATGGACCCTAGCCACCTGTGTATTTCAAATAAGTCATTTAAGCCAGGAATCAAAAATATATTTTGTTCTTATATTACTTGCTCGATTCTTTTGTGGCCTCTTGCTCATTTAAAATCAAAGACTTTTTTTTTTTAGAGTAGTTTGCTGATAAAATAAATCACTCACCCATTCATGCATTCATTCATCAAATGTTAGCCTTTAAGTTAACTATTTGCCATTTTAACTACAGAGTGTTTCATCTGCTCGACATATGTATGGATAGAAATTACTAGATCCTGTGGTGTATTTCCTCTGTGAATCGTCGGTTCCTGTGTCTTAACCGCTTTCGTGCTGTGTTGATATCTGTGCTTTTCTGTTTGGTCTTCGGGGCACTTCTTCCTCAGCGTTTGGTTTCTGTCAAACTACACTCTTCCTTTTCAGTGTTGAAATCCTGACTGTACCCAACCAGCGAGAATCTTCACTTAAGTCCATTTCTCAACCTGGTGTGCTTTTTCTTTTTCTTTTTTTTTTTAACATTTAAACAAGTCCGATGTTTTAGCATAATAAAACAGAGGAAAAAAGCATCCTCAGTTTCCTGTCTTTAACTGCCATTTACCCTCGAGACACTGCAAGTATAGGACTTGTGAGAATACTCAGTTTTGAGCATAAAATCTGCCAGTAATCCTCTCTAACCTTAAGAAAGTCATGTGAGCAACCAACTTGTTCGGTTTTCTTATTTGTCAAAAAGGGAGATTAATATCTTCCTTACCTATTGCATAGGGTTATTGTGGATCAAGTACCGTAATAGATTTGAAAATGCCTTGAAAAGTTGATACTGTGACAGTGACTGATGACAGTGGCAGCCATTATTGTATGGGTGACAGACCAGGCCCTGCACTGTAGGCTTTCTGTTCTCTCTCTCTCAATGTTTGCAGTGTTCTTGACTATAGCTGATACTATCTCCATTTAAAAAGGAGGATACTTGTAAGTGTAGATAGGTATTTGAGGATTTCAGAGGGAAGGAATAGTTGCCTCTGGCTGAGATTCGGGAGACACTTCATTGACAACATGAAACTTTGGCTGAGTCTCACAGCATTTATGGAAAACTTGCCCCACTGTCACAGAACGGCCTTTTATGTTTCCTCCATCTATAACTGTAAAACAGTCTTCTTCGTTTCTAAAACCAGTATCTCTTGTGCTCAGCTTGAAAGCTTGCATTGAATGCATAACTTGTCTTGGGTTGTCCCAGGCTCCTTCTCCCTCAGAGGAAGAGGAGATTACGCTGCTTACTTTGTGCAGGGAAGGCAGACCACTGGCTTCTCCTCAGGCCCGTGTGGGAGCATGTCCTGTGGGAGGGACTTCACAGTGCTTGGTGGAGAAGTGCTGTTCGCAGCCCTGTGTGCATCCAAGATAGCACCCCCAAACCTGTTTAGTCACCAAGCATGCTGTGGTGATGGTCAAATCAGGGTTCATGGTTATCAGATACTGTCAGGAGTTCTCATAAAAATCTTCAAAGAAACTGCAGTCAGTAGCAGTGTGACTCATCATAGATATATAGGTATTTCTGCTGTAATACAATTTATGTGCTTCTGTAGTGTCTTGCCTTTTGTAAAATCTGTCAGGGTCTATGTGGACTGTAGTGTTGGGGGCAGACCGCTGAAAACCTATATCGCTTTTTAATCAGCCGCACATGCCAGTAATTGGTTACAGTTGGAACAGTGCTGCCCGGGCACCACTGGCCGCTTGAACTCCAGCAGGACAATGGGTGCTGGGGAGCACGGGCCATGGGGCTCTGGACAGCAGCCGCTGCTGGTGGCCGAGGATAGTGTTGGGGGTAACCCCTGAGCACAGGTAAAAGTTTTAAAAACTCCTAAAGTATGTCCAGAAATTTGCCTGTGGCTAGTGCAGTCCCTACCACTAGGGCTTTTCCCTTTGCTGCCAGTGAGCTGAACTCCACCCACTGCATTGCTGCCCTGCCCAGGAAAAACGGTGTGCCCACCGCAGTGACCCCCACATATCCTGACTTCTTTTCCTGTTCACCAGCTGAGGTGAGCTGCTTTTTATTGAAAAGACACCTGTCGCGGCAGAGCAGGCTGAGTCTTCGCTTCCTAGGCAGCACCGTTCTTTCCAGTGTGTTTTACTCTCCATAGTGACCAGCCCAGCTGAGCCAGCACAGCTTAGGATGTGCTTGGTCACATCCTTCCCCCTTCTGTTTCCTTCTTACCTTGAGAAACAGTCTCACGATAGACACATACTTAGAAATCATAGTTCCAGATAGTGCTCTGGGGAGATGCCATGACCTTGCTTCATACGTGAACGCTTGCTGGTGGCACTCAGAGAGAGGAGGGCATGGAAAACTTGGGGTCCAGGGGAAAATGACTAGAGAAAAGTGAAAGGAGAAAGAAATGGAAACGAAATTAAACTATATAGCTAAGGCTCTGGTACTGTTTAAATGTTAATTTTTATACTCACTGTTAACCAGTTAGCTAGAGTGGTAATGAAAGTCATATTGGTGTCTGTTATTAGCAAGGCACTGTGCCAGACACTTCGGTTTTATCTCATTTAATTCATTTATTTTTTTAACTAAAAAGCAGAGAGTAATAAAAAAAAGTGTATTTACTACCTAGAATTAATAACGCATATTAATCTTTTATAATAAACAATACGGCAGATAAGTTTGAAATCCCCTGGGTTCCCTTCCTGAGTCACACTCCTCTTTCTCGCATGATTCAACAGTTACAACGAGTTTTCTGTGTGTCCTGCTAGTCCATATTTATGTACTTGTATGACATATGTACCTGTAACAATATTTTATTGGTCTTTGTGTTCAAGAAAAATAACATTATGGGTGTTAGGCTGTACATATCTGTTTACCCCTCTTGTATTTGAGATCTCTCCAAGCTGATGTGTACAGATCAGGTCCATTCACATAAGCTTCTGTAGAGTGTCTCTTCCATGAACCCACCACAGTTTACCCATTGGCTATGGACTGATGCTGGGTTTCCTCCTCTTACAAACAACACTGAGATGTGCAGCCTTGTCTAGATCTCCTGGTGCATGTGACAGAGTTCCTGGGTACATAGCTGGGATTTCCAGGTTATAGGCTATGCACACTCTCAACTTTATCTATCTTATTTAATTCTTAAAAATGTTAATCGAGGCAGGTGGCATGATCCCCAGTTTACACATGAGAAAAATGAGGTGTTGAAATGCTGTGTAACTTGGCCAACTTAATTGAGACCCAGTGATTGAATCCAGATCGAATTCCACCCATTTAAATCTAGAGCCCTAACTCCCATCAGTCCACAGAAATCCTCAACTTTGAACGTCCACGATCGTTAGAATACTTGCAGCCGGCCAGTCATACTGCGTCATTTCAAAGTAGACAATCAGAGCAGGTAATGAGGTGGAGAGGACCCCGTCATACACCTTTTGTTGTGATTTTTGAAAGGGTTCAAGTTTTGCAGTGAAAACATGCTTTGTGAAGTGATGGATCTGAGCTTTCCGTATGTGCAAGACTGTTTCTTTATGATAGAAAACTGCTTCTTACGTTGCTTAAAATGTACATATTAAATGCAACATGCAGGTTATATTGATTAAAAAAAAAAGATGTTACCATGAGCATGTTAGAGTCTGTATTTTACTTTGCAAAGTATCAAAATATAGACCATTTTCTCCAGGTGGAGAAGGCTATCTGAAAGTGATTCTCTTTTTCATGATAATTTTATTCACACTCGGACCATGTGTCTTTTAGACTTCATTTTTGCTTTTGTTCTTTTCTTCACCTTCTAGGTATAAAATCTGGTATATTAACTGTGAAAATTCTAGAGCTTCATGAGGAATGCACCATCCAAGTTGCAATGTGTGAGCAGTTATCGGGGCTGCAGGCTGACAGCTCTTCTCAGGGTGGGGCCCCTGGGACTGGCCTGAGGGTTCTCTTCGCCAAGGAGACTGCACGCTGCCTCCGGGGACTTCCACAAGACATCATCCGTATCTACCCTCCCTGGTGAGTGCAGAGAACTGATCCCCACAGTCCCCAACTGTGAGTTTGTCTCAAAAGACCTTTTTATCAGGAACATTTTTGTCACTTTATTATACAGTAATGCCAGGGGATGGAGCCAGGATTCGACATAGATTTTATGTAACAGAAGCTCTGAACTGTCTCTGATGACTCGTTTGTATTTCTGGTAGCAAATTTTTGATAATTTGGCGGGGGTGGGGAGGTGGTGAGGGAGAAACAAGCACATCAGGAGTCCTGCTTAAGTGGTGTGTTGTTATGAAATCTGGCTGTTTTTGTTTTTATCTTTCTTAGAAATATAATTTTCGTAAGAGTGATTATGTGACAATAGGATAATACACATTAATTTAATACTTCTTTGCTAATTACTTTACGGGGGTAAAAATCACGAATTAAGACATAATAGGGTTTGATCTTCAGGGCATAAGTGGTCGTTAGTGGATCAGAAATTATTTTTGAGGATACCATGTTTGTTTTCTTCTGCATAGGGTATTAATTTTTACCACCAAAAGAAGAGGGAAGGTTTAAGCAGACTTGTTTTAAGGGCTGTTCATTTTATTGACAGTTTTTACGTTTCATTCATCTGTTAAATTCTTAGGTTTGAATTCAGCTTAAAGATCTTTAAGTTAAACTTCTTCCCCAGGGGAGGGATCTTTTCATTGTGTCCATAGTGAGTGATCATCAGTCTCTATAATTAAATTCTTCCACAGACAGGCTGAGGATATCAGAGGGTAACCTGCATTACTTTATTTTATTTAAATTTCTAATACATTTTTAAATTGAACAATATAATATACAATATAGAATTGTACACAGATTATAAGTATGCATTTCATCAAGTAATCACAAAATGAGTACATTTCTGTCCAGTCCAAGAAATAGAATGCAGTTCATACCTGAGACTGCAACGCTCTCCCCTTTCCTTCCTCTCCCTCCTGCTCCAGGTGACCGTGATCCTGACTTCTGATGCAGTAGACACCTTTGAATGTGGGTTTTGTGCTTCTCAATACATTGTGACCATAATAACTTGTACAGCTTAGAGCTGTTTCCACTGCTGACAGTTTCTCAGCAGTCACGTCAATACCACCGGCAACATTTTTATGACAGCACGTTATAATTTCTTTACTCTTTCCATATTCTCAGCATATAGTATATATCCATTCTTTTGCTAACATAAATAACTCTTTAATAGATATTCATATATACGTATTTACATATTTCGGGTTATTTCTCAGAGTAGATTTTAGGAACTGTTTCAGTGGATTAAAGGATATACCTTTTTTTTGGCTTTTAATTAATTTTTATTGGAGTACACTTGCTTTACAATGTTGTGTTAGTTTCTACTGCACAGCAAAATGAATCAGCTATACATATATCCCCTCTTTTTTGGATTTCCTTCCCATTTAGGTCACCACAGTGCAGTGAGTAGAGTTCCCTGTGCTATATAGTATATTCTCATTAGTTGTCTATTTTATACATAGCATCAGTAGTGTATATGGGTCAGTCCCAAAAGGGTATACATTTTGTTGTTGCTGTTACTGCTGTGATTTCTTGATACAGTTAAGTAAACTGTAAACCTCATAGTAGAGTACCTGCTGCTGGTCAAACTGAATACTTTCTCTTATATTTATTTACTGATGACAGCTTCTCTTTTGCAAATTGTTTTTCTTAACTTTTACTCATATATTCATTGGGGTCCGGGGGATATTCTTATCAATTCATATGTCTGTTTTGTATAGTAAAACTTTTCTATTTATACAATTATGTTACTTATGATAACAGTTTTGTTTTTTCCTTCCTAATACTTATGCTTCTTTACCTGTTTTATGTCTTATTGCATGGGCTAGAACTTGCAAATCAAAACTTTTTCACTACTGTATTCCTAGTGACTAGAATAATGCTTGGCCTATGGTAGACATTCAGTAACTATATGATTAATGTTGAGTATTAGATAATCATCAAGATGTTATCAGTCTTGTTATGTTCCCTGTTCGAATGAGAGGATGTATCAATGTATTTCATTGATTTGTACATTTGCTAAGAAGCATTTTTTGCTGTTTACTTACTGTATAATAAGCCTTGTGCTAAATAATGGGTAAACAGTATTCAAAATGAATGACAAATCATCTCTGCCCTTGAGGGACTCACTTTATGGTGGAAGAGAAAGGTAAAATAAACATGTGATAAAGACTCTAGGAAGTATAATAATAGAGGTCTGTACAAAGGTGTGAGAGCAGTGAAGAGGTAAGCATGAGTGATAGGTCGGTAGGGGAGAGACAGAGAGCGAGAGAGAGAGAGAGAGAGAGAGAGAGAGAGAGAGAGAGAGAGAGAGAGTGTGTGTGTGTGTGTGTGTATACTGGGGAGAGAGCGGATTGAGGTAGCTTCCTGGAGTTGCTGATTATCTATCTAAGTTATGAAGGCTAAGTTGGAAAGAACCAAAGAAGGGGCTGTGAGGGCATTTGCAGTAGAGGAGGCTGAATTAGCAAAGAACAAGAGGCCAGAGTGGCATGGTGTATGCAGGAATATACATAGTTCATATGGATGAAGGGGAATTCTGCAGCAGGAGTGGCAGCAAGTGAGGATGGAGAACATGTGTACAGTGTTAAAGAGCTGGTTGTTAAATCCTCCCTGCTGTCTAGGAAAGGAAGGATGTGATCTTACTCACAGTTTGAAAATTGTGCAGGATAACTTAGAAGGAGGCCAGAGTAAAGGCATCCAGGAGACTTTGGGAGTAGCTCAAGTGTGCGGGAAGATGATGACTTGGACTAGGATGGTAAACAGTAGATTCAGTACGTATCTCAGAGTTGGCAGCAACAGGATGTGCTGATGGATTTGATGTGGTTTGTGAAGGAGAGACAAGAAACAAGATTCCTCTGAGTTTCTGGCTTGAGGAAACAAGTGAGTTAGGGCACCATGTAGTAAAATGGGGAGACTTGGGGCAGATTTTGATGGCACAGTCAGCAGTACCTTCTTGACACGAGCAATACCTAAAGCCCTGAGTAAACACAAGAGAGACTGTGATGCCCAAAGAGAAACTGTCAGCTGGTCTGGTTTTCAGTGTAAGCCATGTGTGGTAACTGCCGAGGTAGAGCCCTCAGGCTTGTTCACAGCTGCTTTTGTTCCTGCTCCGTCTTTGCCACCTGGGATTCTGTGAGATGAAGAAATTGCTAGGAGTAAAGCAATGCTGAAGGTGGAAGGTTTGTTTATAGGGTGAGATTATCTTCCTGTTATGACAGCCAGTCTTTTCCCACCAAAATTACAGTGTCTTCAGAGGAAATAAATAGAAAAGAAACTAATGCAGTGTGTAAATGAAAAAATGAGCACCATGACGGTAATCTGGATAATCTGAAAAACTAGAGGGAGGAAGAGAAGGAAATCTGTCACTCATGCTTACATGAGAAAGAAGGAGAAGCAGGTGTCAGCTCTTGCTCCATGGGGCACTTTTCCATAGGGTCTTCATAGGAATATGAGCAGAAGGCCTTGTGCTTAAATAACTTTGGGAAAGGCTGGCTAAATGCGTGCTAGTTACTGTATTACAGGAGTGCTCAGAGTATCTAATATGAAAATGTGCATTATGATTCACAGTAGAGGGAAGCAGAAGAAGAGGGGAGCATACAAACAAGTGACCACTGTCTTCCTAGTCTAAGAAAGTGGATCAGGAGGGCAACTAAGGAGAGTGGTGTCTCAGAACATAGAGCAGGGAGTTCCAGGAACCCACACCTCCACCTAAACAGCTGCTGCACGGGCAGGAACCATGTGAAGCATGACTTTAGAATTCTATAGAGTTGAACATTTGTGGTCTAGGGAAGATTTTGGTAAAGAATACAGGGAGGGGGAGGGGTAAGCTGGGACGAAGTGAGAGAGTGGCATGGACATGTACACACTACCAAATGTAAAATAGCTAGCTAGTGGGAAGCAGCCGCATAGCACAGGGAGATCAGCTCGGTGCTTTGTGACCACCTAGAGGGGTGGGATAGGGAGGGTGGGAGGGAGGGAGACGCAAGAGGGAGGGGATATGGGGACATATGTATACATATAGCTGATTCACTTTGTTATAAAGCAGAAACTAACACATCATTGTAAAGCAATTATACTCCAATAAAGATGTTAAAAAAAAAAAGGGCAATTTCAGCTGCTGGTAGCAGCTACTGTCCCACATCACCCATCCCCACAATCCTGGTGCAGAATGCTAGAGCCAGGGTGGGCAGTATATCAGGGTTTGTACTGATTGATGAATGAAGCTTTGATCACTGAGGCGCTGGCACAGAGGCTAGTGGACATTTTTCCAGTCCCTTCACAGGCTGAAGTGGTTTCCAGGAGAGTTAAAGAGACAGTACATGTCTACCTCCCTGCTGTTTGGAACCAAACATTTAAGTGAATCTTTGTCAGGTCTAGCTGATGACAGAGACAATGAAACAAAAATACCACTTTGCTACACAAGACAAGGAGCACACAACTTACAAAATAGTATGGAAAATTCATAAATGGATGAATCCAGCTCTCAGTAAGTTAAGCTTCAGCAGCCCCTGTGGAATGGAAGAATTAAATTCCCCGAGTTACCCCAAAATAATACTGAAATGCCCAATTTTCAACAAAAATTACAAAATATACAAAGAAATGGAAGAATTGGTGCATTCACAGGAAAAAAAGCTGACATCGCTGAGGAAGCCCAGACATTGGAATTATTAGTCAGGTATGTGAAATCAACTGTCTTAAATATTTCCAGTGAGTTAAAGGTTTACTATATATTAAAAACTAAAGGAAATCAGGAAAATAATATGTGAGCAAAATGAAAATATAAGTAAAGATAGAGAAATTATAAAAAGCAAAGAGAAATTCTGGAGCTGAAGAGTATTGGGTTGGCCAAAAAGTTTGTTGAGTTTTTTCCATAAGGTGGCTCTAGTAGCGCTTAGTTGTCTTTTAACTTCATTCGAAACAATTTTGTTAGACTGTGTGGTGATAGCTGTCATATCAGTGCAATTAAAAAA